CTGTAAAAAGATGGAATTTGCTAGATGGCCTCTCTGGACCCAGCCACCTAAAATCCCTGAGCCTCAGTTTCCTCTTCTGTTAAAGGAAGAGGTTGGACTAGATGGCCTCTGAGGTCCCTTTGAGCTCTAGACCTAGCCACTTAAGTTCCATGGGCCTCAGTTTACCTACAAGTAAAAAGATGGAGTTTGACTAGATGGCCTCTGAGAGTCCTTTGAGTTCTAGACTCAGCCACCTAAAATCCCTGGGCCTCAGTTTCCTCTTCTGTTAAAGGAGGAGATTGAACTAAATGGTCTCTGAGGTCCCTTTGAGTTTGAGACTCAGTCACCTAAAATTCCTGGGCCTCAGTTTACTCTTCTGTTAAAGGAGGAGATTGAACTAGATGACTCTGAGGTCCCTTTGAGTTCTAGACCTAGCCACTTAAGATCCCTGGGCCTCAATTTCCCCACCTGTAAAAAGATGGTTTGACTGGATGACCTCTGAGGTCCCTTTGAGTTCTAGACCCAGCCACCTGGGCCTCAGTTTCCTCTTTTGTTAAAGGGAGAGATTGGAGTAGGTGGCCTCTGAAATCCCCTTGAGCTGTAGACCTAGCCACTTAAGATCCCTGGGCCTCAGTTTCCCCTCCTGTAAAAAGAAGAGATCGGACTGGATGGCCTGTGAGGTCCCTTCCATCTCTAGATCTATGGTCTTTCAATCCGTTGCGCCTGACCTGAGGTTCGGGGGCCTCAGAATGACCCTCGTGGCCTCTCATGAGGACCCATTGTGTGCTCCGCCCCCCCACATGCACTTCTCCCTTTCAGGTGGCCACATGGGAGGGGCTGGGCGAGGCAGCCTCACAGCTCACTGAATGCTGCCCCCCAAGGCCCCTCTCCTCCTGTCCTGTCTTCATCTTCTCTGCTAGGGTCCCATGGGAGGGGCCTGCTGCCCATCGTGAGGGACTGCAGAGGGGGCTGACCCCAATGTCACCAGAGGCCAAAAAAGATGAGAGAGACCGAATTGCTCGCGAAAATCCTATGAGCTTTGATAGTTTAGCATTGGATGAGTAGATTAGTATATTTGCATGATAAACAGTGGCCACCGAAGATCCCTCCCTAGAGGAAGAGCTCAGTCAGATGTGGGCATTTAGGCATCTTGGGGAAGCAGAGAGAGAAATTCTGGAGTTAAATAAAAGGGGGCGTTGCAAGCAGAGCTGTCTCTGGGACAGAGTTGGGAATGACTGCCCAAGATCCCATGCTTGGAAGGGCCCCTGGCTGCCACACAAGCCAGCCGCCTGGTATCTGAGTGAGGAATTTCCTGCGGGGAGACAGACAACTAAGGCAGTGAAAAAAAGAGAGACAGAGAGAAAGAAAAGAGGGGAAGAAAGAGAGAGAGAGAGAGAAAGGAGAGAGAGAGAGGAAGAAAGGAGAGAGAAAAAGAGAGGAAGAAAGGAGAGCAGGGAGGGGGGAGAGGGAGACAGAGAGGGAGAAAGGAGAGAGGGGGGACAGGAAAAGAGATAGAGGGA